AGTCCTGGGCTCAAGAAATCCTCTTGCTTTGGCCTTCCAAAGTGCTGAGATTACAGGCATAAGCCATGCGCCCAGCCAGAAAAAGAATTTTTAAAAGGCCTAGACAGAATAGCTAGAGGAGGAGGAAGAAAATCAGGGGAGTGTGGTTATAACAGCAGACACAGGGAGATGTGAGAGGGAGGGGGTGACTGACAGTTTCAAATTCTGGGTGAAGGATAACATAAGAATTCTATCAACTAGGAAGTGGTTGATGCCCTTGAGGAGTTTCCATGGTGTGGATGGGGTTGAAGTAAAACTGCAGCAGATTGAGAAATGAATAGTGGGGGGAAGAGGGAATGGCAGGGGTCAAAGAGGCTCTCAAGAAGTTTGCAAAGAAAAAGAGAGGTGCGGTAGTCAATGGTGACACGGAATCAAGGGAAGACATGAGAGCCTTGAGGGTGTGATGAGATCGAGTGAGGAGGTGATGGACAGAGCAAGTTAGGAAGGTAGGAGGGGGAAGGGACTCAGAGCTCAGGAGACAGGGTGACCCAAGAGGGAGGAAGGGAGAGACTTGGTGTTCTGCGGCCCGTTCATGACTGCTGCTACTTTCCGAGAGAACAAGCAGAGGAGGTCATCTGCTGAGGCCAAGAGTGAGGGGACCTGAGGCAAACGGAAGCGATTAGGACTAGTCAACTCAAGACTAACCAGGGCCATAGAGGAGGACTGTCAGGCTAAACCGAAAACCAAGTTGAGGCTGGAGACCTTAAGTCTGGGGAGGCACCAAGCTGCTGGTGTGATTTCCCTTCCTGAGCCCTCAGCAGCCTGGGTGAGGCCATCACAGACAGCTCTGCAGTTTGGGTTCTGCCAGGCAGGAATGTGAGGAGGACCAAGGGCTCCCAGGCAAGTCAGAGAGCCAGACCAAGATGGGGCTCTTCCCCCATGCCTGTGAACTTTCCCACGTGAAGGTGACTGTTCCTTTTTACTTACCTCACAGGGCTTTCATGAGCAAAAGGGGAAATGGACACCAAACCACCTCACACCCTCAGGATGACTGCAGTCCCAAAAATGGAAAGTAACAAGTGTTGGTGAAGATATAGGGAAACCGGAGCCCTGTGTACTCTTGGAGGAAATGTACAATGGTGTAGCCGCTGTGGAAAACAGTACGGAAGTCCCTCTAAAAGTTAAAAATTAGAATTATCACGTGATCCAGCAATTCCACTTCTGGGTATATACCCAGAAGCATTGAAAGCAAGGTCTCAGGGAAAGATGTGAGTACACTTATGTTCACAGCATTCTTCACAACAGTCAAAATGTGGAAGGATTTGAGAAGATAGTTCAGTCTGGAGTGTGTCCACTGACAAAATGTGGCATATCCATACAATGGAATATTATTCGGCCTTAAAAAGGAAAGAAATTCTGACACCTGCTACAACATGAGTAAACCTTGAAAACATTACGCTAAATGAAATAAGCCAGACACAAAAGGACAATTACTGAATGATTCCATTTATATGAGGTAAATAGAACAGTCAGATTCGAGACAGAAAGTAGAATGATGGTTGCCGGAGGCTGGAGGATGGGGAAATGGGAAGTTGTCTACTCTGTAATGGGTTTAGAGTTTCCGTTTTGCAAGATGAAAAGTTCTGGAGATGGATGGTGCTGACAGTCACATGACAATGTGAATGAACTTAGCGCCACTGAAATGTACACTTAAAAATGGTTTAGATGGCCAGGCATGGTGGCTCATGCCTGTCATCCCAGCACTTTGGGAGGTGGAGGCAAGAGGATGGTCTGAGCCCAGAGGTTTGAGACCAGCATGGGCAACTTGGTGAGACTCGTCTCTACAATAAATCAAAAAATTAGCTGGGCATGGTGGCACGTGCCTATAGTTCCAGCTACTTGGAAGGCTGAGGCGGAAGGATTGCTTGAGCCCAGAGGTCAAGGCTGCGGTGGCCATGAGTGTGCCACTGCACTCCAGCCTGGGTGACAGAGTGAGACTCCAACTAAAAAAAAAAAATAGTTAAGATGATCAACTTTATGCTATGTGCATTTTACTGCAATCTTTTTTTAAGTTTTTTTTTTTTTTTAAAGCATGCTGGGTTGTTAAAGGCACTGGATAGGGTAGCTAGCAGTGGTATCACACAGGCAAAGTATGTTATCCACAGTCACAAGGGTGACGTTGTAAAGGGACAGGTGACAACTGGAAGCCCGGTGGTGCCAGCCAGGCTCAAGAGTAAAAGGAAATCGGGCTCAGTTCCTGTCTCTGTCACTGTATGACCCTGGGCAAGTTCCTTCTACTCTCTGGGCCCTGGTGTCCTATGAGAATGTCTGGAATAGATACTTTCTAAGGTCTCTTCCAGTCTCAGATTCACTGAAATATCACTGAGCTTGAGAGCAGTGAGGGGCAGGCAACTGAGCCGCTGGACACTTTCTTGCTAGGGTCCCTGAGGTCTCTTCCTTCCCAACATTAAAGACTCATTCTTGTATATATCACCGCCCTTTGTGGGAAGAAGCATTTTCACAAGTCTTAAACCGAGCTCAGAGCTGTAAACAGGGCCTCCTGTTTTCTGTTACTTCAGAAAGACCAGGTTGGAAATTTTGGGAAAACCCCAGGAAATGCAGCAAGAGCCAAGAAGCCTTGTGAAGAGAGACTTTTCCCCCTTTGCCGTGTGTTTATGTTTTGTTTCATTTTTTCCCTGGCGTCTGTCCTGGGCCTGCTCTTACTTCCTCCAGGAAGCCCTCTGGCTGCCAACTGGCCTCCCCTGCAGAGAGCTCCAGCAGCGAGGCAAATCCCTTTGCAGGGCTGCTTCCTATTTGCCCAACAGGAACAGCTTTCCTGGGCACACCTGGAGATTTGAATCAAATCAAGGGCCTCTCTGCCTTGCGGGCACTTCATTTGTATTCGTTTGTATTTGAAGAAACCTTGCAGATGCCCAACTCAGAGGCTAACAGAATGATAAAACAGGGCCTCTGCCAGTCTTCCCCTTGGAGCTCACAGGATACACCTGGCAGGAGTTATACCAGGGAGGGGTACTCCACAGTGTGGTACATTTGAAAGGGTAGGACACCCATAGCGTGGTCTACCCGCAGTGCCGTAATGCCCACAGGGGTCAGATGTGGACATTGCTCCAAACCAGGATCTTTGGAGGTCTTCCCGCTCCTCTGCATGCCATCCGATTGTAAACCTGAAAGGGGCCTAACATAGGCTCAGGCCAGGGCAGGAAAGACCTTGAGAACAGCCAGGGCGTTGGGAGGCTGCACTACCACCTTCGACCGCCAGAGTGCAGTGATACAGTGACTTACCGGTGCTCAGAGACAGACCCAACCACCTACATAATTCAGAACCCCATGAAAATGTTTAGCTCCTTAAGAATTTCAAGACAGCAGCAGCACAGCATTAAGCCAAGCGTTGGGGCCCTTCTCAGTATCAGGTCCTGAGCTACCGCACAGATCATACACGCCTGAAGCTGGCCCTGGCTCAGGGACCTCATGATTTAGCCCAGTCTTCAAGTCAGTGGGAACCTTGGAGAAGCCAACCCTGCTCTGTCAGAGCTCAGGACAGCGCTACCACTGCCAGACAGCCCTTAGCCATCTCCCACCTGCTTTCCTATCCTTTTTTTTCAATGCCTTGCTGAAAATATGTACAATACTTGGAAAATGTATATTTTTCAGAGAAAACCACTGGGGCATAGTTTCTGCAAAAGAGGGTGTATGGTTTCATGGGAAGGGAGTCTCTTCAAGAAACAAGCACAGGGAATCCAAGCTCTGCAAATTTAGCTTTAGCTAAGGCTTCTCATTTGCATCTAAGATACCTGGCAACCTTTCATTTTTATATTCAAAGCAGACAGCATGTTCCAAAATGTTTACAGACACTTGGGAAAGGAAAGTAGCTCAGAACTTGTTCCTAAGGTCCTGTCCAATGGTTATAAATCTGTGTCTAAGACATATGGGGCAGAGCTGGGGAAAGTCCTGGTGGGAGTAGGAAGTTTGACCTGCTAGGACCCATTCCTGCCCCTCTCTGGCCCTCAGCTACACCCATCTCCCCAAAAACTGGGCATCAAATCAAACTGGTGTGCCCACCCCCCAGCTCTAACACTCTACCATCCTCTTTCAAAAAGGATGTTTGTAAGACAGACTAGGCAAAAGAGAAATGGACTAGGAAACAAAGGCATCCAAATGACTGACAAGGTGCTTGGGCTGGGGAGGCAGAGACAGGCAGGGAAAGGCAATGATACAGCTGAGCTGGCATGATGTGCCAGCTCAGCCCCTCGGTTTGAATTGGAGACTGGGGTATACAGGGGTGAAGGCCAGAAGCAAACAGGACCAGAACTGTGGCCAGAAGCAGCACATCATCAGCATGAGACAGAGTTGGGGGTGGGACAGCTTTTCTTCCTCACTCTGCATGGATCCCATAGTGTGTGGGCTCTTGGTTTCTGAGTAGGAGGAGGTAAGGGCCACTCTTTTGAATTAGGGACTCATGTATCCTGCATGTTCTCACTGGAAAGGGAGGATGCTCATGTCTGCCAAGCTTCTAGCTGAATTCTCCTGAAGTTCCTTACATGCTAAGCTTGTTACTGCATGCAGACTATGTTCTTTCTGGTCTCTTTCCAGTGAGAGTCGGATTGATAAAGAGAAAGTGTAGGTCAAGTGTATCCTTTTGGGGATCTGTGACCTTGGCCAAATTCCTAAATCCCATGGGTCTCCTGTTTCCCAAGTGTACAGGGAGTGAGTTGGGTGGGCCATTAAGGAGTGCTTCAGTCCTAAAACAAATTTTATGATTCTCTGATTTCCAATCAAATGTCAGGCTGTCTAGCAGTGACAGGTATTTTCCTGTGCTCAATGCCATTTTCTAAGGAAATAATGTCTAGGGAGAAAAAGGGCCTGAGTGGCCTGATGTGAACTTTTGGTTTCCTACTATTTAGCATCTCTCATTTCTGCTGCTGCTTCTTGGGAGGTACCCATGGAAACCCAGGGAGTTATGCAAGAGACTTGCTAGCCAGCTCAGCGGTCCCAGCACCTACCCTTCTCTTTGGTAATCTTCGTCCAGATTTGACAGGAGCTGTGAGCCCGCCGTGGAGAGGTCAACAGCAGCCAGGGGCAAGTCCCGATAGGCAAAGTTCACCAGCTGCACAGGAGCAATGCTCTTGGTTTCTTCGTCTACTTGTTGGGAGATGATCTCTACTTCGGAAATTCCTCCTTCTATGGCAGGCCTGAGTTGGAGAGGAGGAACAACAGGGAAGAGTTATCCCTAAGACCATAAAAACGCTTCCATTCCTCAGGGAAAGAAGGGAGAGTACACCAGAATCTATACATGAGTCCCTAATTCAAAAGAGTGGCCCTTACCTCCTTCTACTCAGAAACCAAGAGCCCACACACTATGGGATCCATGTAGAGTGAGGAAGGGAGGTGGAGTGAGGGAGGGAGAGAGGAAGAGAGGGAGGGAGGGAGAACGCACCAGAATCTATGCCATGATTGTGGAGAGAGGGAGAGGTGAAGGGAGGGAGGAAGAATGCACCAGAATTGATGCTGTGCTGGTAGAGGGTTGGGGAAGCTTGAGGTTCCTACTCTTCCCCACTGGCCACCCAAGGACTGGACTGAAGCCCTAACCAGTCCTATCTCCTTCAACTGTGGGGGCAAAGGAGGAATAATGGGAAGAGGAATTGCTAAGATTCACAAATATGAGCTCTGGGGGCAGGGTCCTTTTTAAGGGGAAGTCAAGACCCGGATGGATAACTCTGCCAACCAGCAAAACTGTGGCTTAGGCTTTTAGGATTTTGGGTCACTGAACTTTACCTGGGAGTAGTTCATTCTTTTCAAGTGTCTCCTGGGTTTCTTTGTAAAGCCTCTTTGAAATGTCTCCATCCTCTGTACCACAATAGAGAAAAGAGGCTTTTGTTCACAGCTGGGTGGACTATGGTGGTTGGGAAGCCTACTAGGAGACTTGGTAAGGTCTAGTGGGACTTGAGGTGGTGAGGACAGCAGGGTCCAGCTGTCCCTGGCTGCCACTCCCTTCCTGTTTGAACCGGTCCTACCATATCTCCCTTTCTAAAGTTGGAAGCAGAAAATGGGGTCATTTGACCAAATGTCTGAGGTGTGGTCTCTTTCTAGGTTACTGTCAGGCCACCTCAGGCACTGCCAATAACTGATAACTCCCTGGCATTCCTGAGCATCCCAGCCAGGGTTGTACCATCCCCCAACTCACCAGTGGGTATTTGGCAAATTGTGGAGGGATTTTTGTTTGCTACAATGACCACAGGAAGTCACTATTGACATTTAGGTAGGGGTGGGGACATTACACATCTTGCATGGTGGCTAACAACTAAAGACTATCCTGCCCAAATACCAACTGCGAACCTCTTGAGAGAGACCAGATTAGAACGTTTTGCTTTTGCTTTAACTTCCTGGGGTGCCATCTTTTGTCTGTCAGCATACCCTTGGCCCTGTCTCATCCTACGGAATCTAGGGGCTGGGTCTTTGCCTCTGGCCAAACAATGAGTGTTAGAAAGGAAAATGGTACAAGGGAGAGGAGTAAAAATTAAATCTTTGAGGGAACATTGAGGGTCAGTACACAGGGTAATGAGGGCACAGCTTTAATAATGAGGTGGCAGCCTAGTCTGCTATAAACTGTTATTGGGCTCTGGTGCTGGCATGAATGCCAACTTCTATAGAGCTCCCTCCTGGGTCTCAGTTTCTTGAACTGGACACGAGGAGGTGAAATAGATGCTCCCTAAAGACCATTCCTTCTCACCCTATGTTCTGAGATGGATAAGAGAAATATGGAGCAGGTCAAAGGCGCTCTGGAATGACAAGGCCACACACGTGGGTGGGGAGCTCTAAATTCTAAACTTTTCTAACGTCCATTGACATGTAACCAATAATACTCAGCGGTTGTTATTCAGGAAATTCAGCTCTGAATTTGCTTATTTCTTTTTTGCTTGGATCATCCAATCATTGAGGGAAAAGTGGGATTTTTATCTGAATGCCACAGATTGGCTGGGTAGACTACTAATTTCCAGTGCCCCGATTCCCTTTTGTAGGCCTTATTTAAACCTGTACTTTTTGCTACTTGTCAAGCACAGATAATGGTACTCATCATTGCGTGACATTTGCAAAATGACTCAAGATCTTTAGAAGAAAGAGTCATAGGATGTGAGGCTTCTATGTTTCTCAACAACTGATAGAAAAGTGTGGGTGTTTACGAGGGGAATCCCAGCTCCCCCAAACGTTTCCCTAAAAGTAGATGCTGGGTTGAATTTGTTCTCTTTTCTTCTGGACTACTCAAGGAAACTATGGGTTGCTAAACTGAACAAAGAGAACTTTCTGATCAATAAAGTGTTCATGAAGGGAAGGTTTCAGAAACTAACCAGAGGAGGCTCTGAGAAGCCTGCAACAAACTACTCCTGCCTTGCTAGCTCTTCTGCTCTTTGTTCCTCTTCTGCAGTGGTCATAGTGGCTCAGCACCATCTCTGGCCATGTGCTCATCTCAGCAGAGAGATAAGGTCTCCTTTGGTGGTAGTGAAGTCCCACAGTTTAGAGCCTATATTGAAACTACAGCTTGGTCTTGAATTTAAAGAACAGTATGGTAGACAAAATGTATTAATGGCTCTATTTTTTGTTTGTTTGTTTGCTTGTTTGTTTTTTGAGTTGGGGTCTCACTCTTTCACCCAGGATGGAGTGTAGTGGCATGATCGTGGCTCACTATAACCTTGACCTCCTTGGCTCAGGTGATTCTTCTGCCTCAGGCTCCCAAGTAGCTGTCACTACAAGCGTGTGCCACCATGCCTAGCTAATTTTTAAATTTTTTATAGAGATGAGGTCTCACTATGCTGCCCAGGCTGGTCTCGAACTCCTGGGCTCAAGCAATCCTCTTGCCTTGGCCTCTCAAAGTGCTAAGATGAGGTGTGAGCCACGACATCCAGTCCCGTTGTTTACCTCTCCTTGAACCAATGCCTTTTGCCATCTGACTTTGCAGTTCCTCTCATTAAAAGGAAAAGTATATATCCCCAACCCTTGATGCTGTGTTCAGTTATGTGACTTGTTTTGGCCAATGGGATGTTGGCGGACGTGATATGAGCAGAAACATGAAAAGGCCTCTGTGAATGTCTGTGTGTGCTCTTGCACTTTCAACATCACCATTAGAAGGTGACCAGCCTTGCCTACTAGAGGATGAGAGACACGTGGAACAGGATCCAGTCTCACCTAGGTCAGCTGATAGCCAGCCAAGACCCACACTTAAAAGCAGTCCGAGCCAAGATCAGTAGAGCTGACTACCTAAGACTTGTGAGCAACAAACTCTTATTCTACGGAGGTTGTATGGGTGGCTATCACACAGCATTGCTGTGGCATTAGATAATGGATGCATGCTCCATGTGACAGAGCACCCAGGCCCATAGGCCAGAAAGGGTGGGACACGATGGTACAGTAGTTGGAGTGTTGTTTTCATCTTAGTATTTTTACTAACCAGTTGCAAAACACAAAATAAGTGACCGCCCAGTAAGTGTTGGGTAAGATTCAGTGATTGGCCACAGGGCATCTTAGGTTTTGGGAACTGGAAGCAGTTGTCTCTTAAGAGTTCTGCCCCTGGTTTCATAAAGCAAGCTTTTAGAAACCCTCTCATGATTTCTAAATTCCTTTCAATTCCCATTTTGTTAATTCACTTTAAGCATCTCCTAATCTTGTCTTGAGTATTGCTTTTGAAAGGTCTCCCCATTTTCTGTGGCCTCCTGCTGAAGAAAATGCATGCAGTGGTTGCCTGAATTAGAAAAGTCTCATCTTACAGGAGATTTACAGCAACAGTTCTGGATCCAGGGAGCAGATCCCAGCATCACTTACTGTGGATTGGTCATGTTGAAAGGTGCAGCCAGAGCCATGGGTTTTCTTGGTGTCTAGTGGGGCTCAGCTGTCCTGAAGCCTGCTGTCAGCATTTCTAAGCGTGGGTTCTTCAAGACACATACAAATATAGTGCCCTGAAAACAAAAATAGGAACTTATTACCTTCACATGCCAAACCAGAGTCCTCCTAAACTCATCTAAAAATGGGAGCTTTCTTCCATCTAGTGCTTTTCTTCAAAATAATGTTGAATAGATTCTTACAATTACTCTATGGATGGGGTTACAACAGGCATAATTTCTCTCATTTTTAGATGAGGAAACAGGGCCAGAGTGACAAGGTGACTTTTCTGTGTTATACAGAAATGGCAGAAGACCCAGGTTAGTCAGGTTTTCTAACTTCTCATTCACAGCTCTTCCTGCTAAACTGCTGTGCCCCACCAAATAGTCTAACTCTATACTTCAGCTTTAAGAACCCCAAAAATAATTGTTTAAAGAAATTCAAAGGTTTTCCACATATTTTTCTCTCACTACCCTTTAACTTCTAGTAGTTCTGTCTCTCCATTCATCCAGGTTTTTCTCTTCTCCTTCTTTTTGCTGGGCCTCTCAGTGAGAAAGGAAGACCCCAGAGCCAGCCTACCCAGGGTCAGAGCCTCATTCCCACTTACTAGCTTTGTGACCTACTCCCTCTGTCTTTAGTTTTTCCATCTGTAAAATGGGGATAATAATAGAACTAACTAAATGAGGTAATGCATGTAAGACACTTAAACAGTGCCTGGCACTTAGTAAGTACTACATAAGTCTTGACTTTTACTATCACAATTAACATTTTGTATAAATTAAAATTGCACAGTCTGTTGAATCTGAACACATTCTAAAGCATTTGGATAGCTGAGTATGATTATTTCCTCTTAAAATCTGGACTAGGCAAACAGAATATATGTTTCTATCAATCCAGGCTACAGGACCACCTAGAAATCTTTTGGGAGAGAGTACAATCTAGCAGAAAGTACATGAAGAGAGAGACCCAGGTACTGAGTGATTTTTGAACAAAGAGGCATCTACCGCAAACTGCTTCACCTACAAGAAGAAATCAAGGCAGGATAAAGTCTGCTTCCCCGAGCCTAAAGCTCAGCTCTGGGGGGCAGTTAAACCAGAGAGACAAAGGGGGAAGACTGTCACATCGTGCAAAAGAAAAAGCTACTCTCAGGGCGAGAAGTATGAGAGGATGAATGGTAAATTTGCCAAGCGAGCAAGCTCCTGCGGGCTCTGTGTCATCAAGACAAGGCAGAGTGCAAGTTAAAGAAAACTGAAGATGTTCTGGGAAAGTCTGAACTTAGAGCAACTGGAAATAAGAGAGATGGAGACTCTAAAATTAAACAGGCCTCCATAGAGGAAGCCACCAACCATTTCCACACCGGATGTTTGGGGAACAATAAAAGCAAAGGGCAAAGGCTTGGGGGCAACACCTGGGAACAATGGACAGATATATATATTTTTTAATTGGAGTCTCACTCTGTCGCCCAGCTGGAGTGCAGTGGCACACTCCCAGCCACCGCGGCCTCAACCTGCTGGGTTCCGGCAATCCTTCCGCCTCAGCCTTCCAAGTAGCTGGAACTACAGGCACGCGCTACCATGCCCAGCTAATTTTTTGATTTATTGTAGAGATGAGGTCTCACCAAGTTGCCCAGGCAGATCTTGTTTTGTAACCACCTTACTAAGGGTTTTGTCTTCCCCTAGCATACCTTAGTAAGGAGAGTCTAAGCATTAAAAACAGAACTGTCCACTAGAGTATTTGGGAGTGTGTGTTAACTGCACAGTAAACGTTATAAAATTTTCCAGTCCACAGCACAGATCTCATCAGCCTCCAACTTTTTTGTCCTCTTTATGAAGCTCCAGTTAACACAATCTTCCCAATATTAAGACCCATCACGTGGCTCATGCTAACTCGCCTGACAGTGATGTCAGGATTGAGGTATCCACACATGAAAGGCCAGGCCATCAATCCCCCCTCCAGAATGGCGGTTTAACGAACTGTATTCCCAAATGAGAATTCACATGCCATATAAGACATTAGCCCTGTGGAGGATACAACATGAGGGTCGTTGCTTTCATGAGCCTTCAGACTGACTGGGCAGGAAGTTTAAAACATACAAAACTTCAAACCTTTTGCCTATCTCTAGTAGAGAAGAACAAGTAAAAACTGATGAATCTGTGTTAAATAATAAACAGTTACCACACTAATAGTTATGGCCAACATAAAAACATATGAGAAAAAAATAGAAATGAAAATAACATTTTTTTTTTAAAATTTGACTTTTTAGGAAGGAAAATTTCAAATACATGCGATTGTCGAGAATTGTTTAATGGACCTCCAGTTACCCATCACCCAGCTTCAATAGTTATCAGCTCATCACAGTCTTCTCTGTACTGTCCATTCCTCATGATTATTTTCATTCATCTGGAAATGTTTCAATATGTAGCTCAAAGGAGAAGGATTCCTTTTAAAAGACATGACCAGCTGGGCATGGTGACTCATGCCTGTAATCCTAGCATTTTGGGAGGCCAATGGGGGAAGATTTCTTGAAGCCAAGAGTTCAAGACCAGTCTGGACAACATAGCAAGACCTCGGCTCTACAGAATATTTAAAAATTAGGTAGGGGTGGTGGCACACATCAGTAGTCCCAGCTACCCAGGAGGTTAAAGCAAGAAGATCCCTTGAGCCTAGGAACTGGAAGCTGCAGTGAGCTATGACCAGGCCTCCGCACTCCAACTGGAGTGACAGAGGGAAACCGTCTCTAGAAACAAAACAAAAAAAACAAACAAAAGACATGACTACAAAACGATCAGTGCCTCCATGTCAACATGTTTCTTTTTCTTTCTTTCCTTTTTTTTAGTGGAGGTCTCACGCTCTCTCCCAGGCTAGAGTTTAATGGCACGATCTCAGCTCACTTCAGCCTCAATCTCCTGGGCTCAGGTGATCTTTCTGCCTCAACCACATGCCACCATGTCTGGCTAATTTTTTGATATTTTTTGTAGAGACAAGGTCTTGCTATGTTCCTCAGGTTGGTCTTGAACTCCTGGGTTCAAGCAATCCTCCTGCCTCAGCAACCCAAAGTGCTGAGATCACAGGTGTGAGTCACTGTACCTAGCCAACAATTTTCTTACTATCATTAAATATCCAGGCATTGCTCACATTTTTAAAAGGTTTGTTGAATCAGGAACCAAACAGAGTCCACATCTGATAATCAGCTAATATGACTCCCAAACCTCATTTAATCTACAGAGTTCCCTTCCTCTATCTCATTTTTTCCATGCAGTTTTTTGGAAAAACTGGGTCATTTGTCTTACAAAGTTTTCCACAGTCTAGATTTTACAATGATGGTATTCCTTTAGTGGTGTTCTCGCATGCTCCTCTGTACCCTTTATTTCCTGTAAATTATAATTAGTTTATAGACTTTAATCAGATTCAGGTTCATTTTGGGTTTTTTTGCAAGGGTATGATATTAGAAGAAACACACTGTCCTTTTTATGTTAGTAGCAGTCATTGATGATTGCTTCCCAGACTCATTCATTCATTAGGGTTTGCAAGGTGGTGATATCTTAATTTTACCATTCCTTTTTTATTAACTTCTGTGAAGACAGAGTTTCCCTCCTCAACTACTTGATTAGCCGGAGGTACAGATCGTACAGGGTCAGAAGGATAAATGCATAACTTTCCCCCCTTTACTTATTAGTTTTCAAAAAAATGAATCGGCATCTTGTTATCTTCCAATGTGATCAATTATGTGTTTGTTGCTATTTTAGCAGCATCGAGAATTCATTCACTCACTCAGCAGGGCTGAGAGGGGGAACAGGTTTCCCCCCAAAAGGTGGCAGTAGTTTCCTGGAAAGGAGAGATATGGTAGAGGAAGGAAGGATGGGCCTCTCCAGTCCAAAGGCAAAGATGAGGGAGGAAAAGAGGGTCATATCATATTTGGATGGACAGTGAACAGGTGACTCCAGCTGAAGGTTTTGATCCTTAAGAAGAAGTGTATTTTAGAAGGCGAAATCCCTTAGGACGATGGGAACGCTAAGCCTGGATGTTATTTAAAATTAATATTTTTCCAAACAAAGTAAGCCTCAAAACACAAGCCTAGCACGAAGCAAGTGTAGTCTAGCACTCTATAAATGAGCATCTGAAGTGTAAACCTGCTGTCTCATAAACCTGGTAAGAATAGAGGAGAAAATTCATTTTGGATTTACCAGGCCTAGTTCTGGCAGGCTGCAAGGCTACTTTTTAGACTTTAGTCAAATTCCAGTCTCTTCCACTTGTTGCTCATGAGTCTATGTCTTTACCTATATCACGTTTGCCTCTTCTAGCCAGATCTGCCAAGTTTAACCTTCCTAAGATGGCATCCTTGGAATTTTAGGGCTGAAAAAAAAAAGGCTGCTAAGATCAAGTAGTCAGTTCCTCGCCTACAAAGCGAAAAAAGTCATAAGTCAGCTCACCTGTCCCCAGAGGCCCTGGGTCCATTCTTCATCCCTTATTTGAGTGACAGCCTGTTGGCATACATGACCTGCTTTCAAAGCCATTTCAGTGGTTCCCACGCCTGCTTTTACTCCAAATCACCTGGAGACCTTTTGGGGAGTATAAATTCACAGGCTACACTGCAGAGATGCTGAATCAGAACTCTGTGGGTAAAGTCTGAGAAGCACTTTTTTTTTTTTTTTTTTTTTGAGTCGGAGTCTCACTTTATCTCCCAGGCTGGAGTGCAGTGGCATGATCACAGCCTTAACCTCCTGGGCTCAGGCGATGCTTGGCTAATTTATTTATTTATTTGTTTGTTTTTTGAGTTGCAGTCTCACTTCGTCACCCAGGCTGGAGTGCAGTGGCACGCTCACGGCCACTGCAGCCTAGACCTGCTGGGCTCAGTTGATCCTTCCAACTCAGCCAGCTGCCTTGATTATTTTACTTAACATTTATAATTAAGCATTTTTACATGCATTCATTTTCTAGCCTTTCGGGAGGATCCAAAAGCAATGACACTATAATAGAAATTAATGCACTTTCATTTTTTTTTTTTTTTGAGTTAGAGTCTCACACTGTCACCCAGGCTGGAGTGCAGTGCTCTCTCATGGCCATCCCAGCATCAACCTGC